GGGTGTGTGTGTGTGTGTGTGTGTGTGTGTGTGTGTGTGTGTGCGTGTGCGTGTGCGTGCGCGCGCCTTTAATCCCAGCACTCAGGTGGCATAGGTGGCCAGATCTCTGTTGAGTTCAAGGCCAGCCTGGGCTACAGAGTGAGTCCCATGAAAGGTGCCAAAGCTACACAGAAAAACCCTGTCTCAAAAAAACAAACAAAAAATGTCAACCACTCTATCTAGCTCTGATCAGATCCTATTGAATGAGACAACCAGGTAAAGGATTAGGATGTTAGTGTAATGTAACAATTTACAAAAACTTGGCAAACAAAGTTCTGTGCTTGATGGGCATTAGTGGGATCTGGTGGAAAAGAGAAATATGTCTAACCCTTTGAAAATAATGGAAATGGGATTTATGGAACGCAGGGGATGCATGAGACAAGGGACAAAAACAAAGACACTGAGCTGACCAGTTTCATAAAATGCTGCAGGTCAGCATTCCATGGGGCAAAACAAAATTTGAGTGCTAACGCCAGCTTCCAAGCCATCAAGCCTGTTATTACTTCGGTTGTGGCCCCTGTCACCACTCTTTAATCCCACTTCAGGGAGTGTCGCCGAGACAAGCCTTCAAGCTAACTCTCCCTGCCCTGCCACGAAACTCCAGGGTGGTGAGTACCTGAGGCGAGAGGGTGACTTCAGTCCAGGGAGCAGAATTAAAGCTCATGCATCCTCTGATAAGAAACTGACGTTAGCAAGTGGAGCAGGGAGTGGGTGGATCATGCCTGTAATACCATAGCCTGGGAGGTGAAGGCGGAAAGATCAGGACTTCAAGGTCACTTACGAGGTCAACCTGGGCTGCATGAGACCGTCTCTGCCACAGGGGCATTTAGAAAAGTTACAACTGGGATCCATTAATACAAGGACATTGACTCCAACTCCAGATTCAACCACATAGTTAGAGTTAGGGGCGCATGTCTAGAGGAGGCGTCCACCAGCCCCTGCCTCGAGGCACCAGGAGAAGACAAGGGCACGTACTCTGGCTTGCCCTAATGCTCAGTGTGAGAACACGCGCGCCGTGGGGCCAGAGGGTGGTGCACGACCAAGACGTAAACACGGGGGCAGAGTGTGACCCTCGACCCCTGGCAGCGGAGCGAGGGTCGAACGTATAGACACCATGGGGATGCAGAGACAGCCCCCCAGGTGTTACCTGAACGCCATAGGAGCTTCGCAAGAGGTTAGGGAACCGGCTCAGAAGCGTGCGCGGCAAGGAGGCCGCCATCTTGACGCACGCCGGACGTACGGCCGGCCGGCAGGGGAAGCGACCGCGCATGTTCGGGACACTGGCTGGGGCGGGGCCAAGGCCTCGCCTCGCAATGCGGAAGGCGGATGTTCGCGTGCGTGCGGACGGAAGCGTCAAAGGGCGGGTCCCGCAGCGAGGAGCGAATTTAAGCTGCGTCACAATCGAACTAGCCTCCAAAATTGCTTTTTTCCTGGACGAGTCGCCGTGACTCCTAGGCTGCATAGCTAGTGTAGGACACTAGAGCAGTTTTGAGTGCGCTTTGGCCCGGACTGGCCTCACTGCGCATGCGCCGGGTCGTTTCGACCAACCCGGGGTGAGCGTCCCCGGCCGGGGCGGAAGTGGTGGCGGCGGCGGAGCGGGCGGTGCCGGACGCGGCGATCACGCGCTGGCGCGGAGGGGCTCGGGAGGAGACGGAAGTGGGGGACGAGGGCAGGGGCGCCCCGAAGGCGGAGGGCGGGCGTCCAATCCGCGGGCGGCCCGGCCCGCTCGTCGGCCAATCGGCCTTCGCCTCGCGCACAATGTCTCGTGACGGGGGCGTTTCTCCATCACGTTAGGGTGCGTTGGGCGGTGGTCGGGTATAAAAGACTCCGCCCGGGCGGGCGGCCGCCATTCTGGGGTTCGTTTAGAGGTAAGTTTGGGTGCTCCGTCGCCCGGACGGTAACGTTTGGCCGGGAGCGGGCGGTCCGGGCAGCGGGGCGCGGGACGGGTGCATTGGGCAGCCACGGGGTGCCCAGCGCGGCTGCCGTGTTCGGGGGTAACAGGCGAGGGCGCGCGGGGGTGTTGGAAGGCGACCCGTACTGATTACAGCTTTCTCCTTTGTGTTCTTTCTACCCCAGGTTGAATTTTCTCGGAGAAAGACAGGCCGGCCATCAGGAAAACAAACAAGCCTCAGCAACATCTAAGCCCTTGAAAGGATCCTGAGAGAGGGGGGACAGGGAAAAGAGCAGCCACCAGCCCAACCACTTGTGTCTTCTACCCCTCCCCACCTATCTTGCCCACCCCACCAGCCCACGCTGCTTGGGACTTGAAATCTGTGGCCGAAGGACCGTCACCACATAACTTCAAAAATAATCAACCACCCTCCCCACCCAAACCCACCCAATCTCACTCATCCAGCATTTCCTTTTTGGAATCCACTCAGGATTTTTTTTTTCAACGAACCCCCCCTCCCTCAATGGAGTTGGGTGGGGGGAATGTGAATACTGAGTTGGTCTTTACTTTTTTAAGAGACTTTTTGATCCAATGAGGCCCCCCAAGTAATTGAGTTTGGGTCTTGGTTGGTTGTTTTATTTTTTTTCCTCCAAAATTTTACCCCTCCCTCCCCTGAGCCCGAGGTGCTGACGTCGCAAAAAAATTGGATAGTAAGTGTCGAATTTTCAAAAACCAGCCTTGCAACAAGAAATCAACGTTTCCCGTTGTGAAACCAAAAATAATGAGAGGAAGAAATGAGACCATAGAACAAATGTAGAATACTGGAGAAGGACCGATCGGGTCTCTTAAATCTCCATTAAAAAGGTCCTGTGGGTCTAAACAGTCTTTGTTCTCTCTCCCCTACCACCTGCCTCTTCCCTGCTGTGGAGCAGGCAAGGAGAGGGTGCAGGGAGGGCCAGCAAGTGAGGATATTGACGGTTAACCCTTGATAATCCAGCAAATTTCCAGACTGCCAAAGCATAAGCCTTTGCTATTATAAGGAGGAATGGTTACCTTCCTCTGGTTAGCAGTCTTCAAAAGGGTTAATGAGCTCACATACAAAAGATGGTGGATCTTGTGGCCCAGAAGTCCCACTTCTTTGTGTGTGAGACAAGCAGAGCGCCTTTCAATTTGCCAGATTAATAAGCAATCTGTACATAAAGATTGCAGGGTAAGGAGATGGGCAGAGAGAAGTATTAGCTGGCTGTGTCTTTAAAGTGATTGTTAAATCCTCTCAATTTTAATGTAATTTGCTTGGGATATATTGTGTGGTTAAAATAGGTGGCAATCTAGGAATAAAGATTGCAAGACACTTAAATTTAGGGCAAAATATAATCTTAGTAACAAGTACATACAATATAACATTTGGGGAGGTAAAGAATGTCTTGTAATTGTTTCAGATTGCATAGGTTATTTAAAGGCAAAAGTGATTAACATTTTAACTTGATACTTTTTAGTGGTTGGATACAGTTAAGAGGGTGGAAAGGTTGGGAAATGTGAACTCAGGAGTATAATTTTAAAAGCCATTAGTGCAATTGAATGCTAGCTTTCTAGAAGATTTGTGTCGTTAAAAGAGTTTTTTTCTTCCCTGCTTCAAATATGGCGACTTTTCCTTGTCCTTTTGTCTTCCAAGCGGCGTTGCAGGTTGTGTCTTGACCCATTTTTCTCCTGTCCTCCCGCCTCAACCCTGTTTGTTGAGGGGTCCAAATCCTCCCCCATTCCGGTTATGGGGAGGATTGGGGTGGTCGGCGGTAGCAAATTGAACTTCAGTTACAAATTCAAATTCTTAACCCGCAGAAAATTGTATATTAATTGATTTTATTTTCAGTAAGCTCTTAAACTGAATTAAAATAGGTCAGGGGTGGTGGTGGAGGGATGACTTTTTTTCTTTCTATTTCTTTATTACTTAGTTCTTTATAGTGTAAGTAAAGCTACCGGCAGCTGTGGATGGCTTTTTAAATTTTGAGTCGTCCTCTCTATAACAAAATGGCGTCCCTCTCCTTTGTTTTTCTCTTTTTGCCAGTCAGCTTAGGGCTGCCCTAGAAACTTGGTCAAGGGGGAGGAGCCACTTTGAAAGGTGATGTAATCAGCTTGCTTCCTCTGGTAACTCCACCCCCAAGCAGATGCTTTCTCTCCCTGTGCAGAGAGCTGCCTGGGAGAATAGCTTTCCGTTTCTTTTATCTTTTATGAAGCATCTTACAGGGATAAAAGCTTAATGAAAACAGGAATGCAGGCTGTCCCAATCGTGTAGTTCTAGTTTATGTGTTTAACGGTCAGCCCGATGCGTTTATTCCCACCTTCCACTCATCACAAGCTTGGACATGCACCCTGCTTCAGTTGACAGGTGTGAAAAACTAAACCCCAACTGTGCGTTAGGTTTGGGAGATTGGGGCAAGACACAGGGTTTGTAACTTGAGTAGACAATTGGGCCTAATGAAGCTGAAATGTGCCATTCTGCTCAGGACGGGTCCTTGTACTTCCAAATGTCGTTGCTCTGTAACAGTCTTGGGGGAGGGTTGGTGCTTGTAGGACTTTCTTATGAATCATCCTTATTCTCACCTCTCAGTTTGGGGATAAACTCTTTGTGCTCAGTGCCATCACCCTCTGCCGTTGCTTAGTTCCTGTATGTTGGCACTAGGATGAGAAGTGAATCTTTAGGAAAGGAGGCTGCAGGTGTAAACTCGAGGCAGGGGGATTCAAGCTACGGTTTCTGGTAAGCAAAACATTTCTGGTATTACATTTCACAACCTTTCTTTTTTCCAAAGAGCCACCTTTTTGAATTTCTTTTTCCTTCCTTCCTAAAAAGAAATTCCTTTAAAGCATTGAGACGAGAATGTGCTCTTCATTCTGCCTGGTCAGTGCTGTGGCACTTGGTGCATGTTAAAGCCACACCCTCGAGGGTGGTGTTGGGTGTCTGGTTCTTACCTCTTTTTCAAGTCACAGTCTTCGACAGTTTCTTCTTCTACTTTTCATTTTTGTATTTAAAGTTCTGCATTGAAGTGTGGAGTTTCTAGGCAGAGTGTACAAGCCTTTGGACCTGTTCTGTGGTGACTTTGGGTGCAACAGGGCTCATTTTCTGCTGGCTGTGGATTCTCATTATTACTTGGACTTCTGATTGAATGGGAGGGCCTCTTCCACATGTCTATTTACCACACGTCTTTTTTATCTTTTGAGCAGTTTGCCAGGTGCCTCTGCAGCATACCTACCTTGGGAGCTGAGCATTCCACCCACTGGGGTTCCTGATCTCTAGTGAGCAGGGGATTAGTAAAGAAGACCTTCCTTGCATGGGACATGAAAAGCAAGGCTTTCTAGGGAACCTTGGAGAGCCTGATTCTCATGGCGCGGCCAGAGCTCTATTTGGGGGTCTTTCCTTGAGGGTCAGGGTGGTGGACATAATTTTACATCTTACTGAAAGCCAAATAGTCTTCCCGGGAGCAAGATTACCTGATTTTCAAAATAACGATGAGGGAGGAGTAGGGCCTTACCATGCAAAGGTACAGAAGCTGTGAATCCCCTGAGACAGTCCATTCCACTATTGGGTCAGACCAGGAAGCTCTTGAGATGCTGGGGGAAGAGCGAGGCATTTTGCATCAGGAGGTGCTCAGGCCCCAGCAAAGAAGAGCTGGCACTTCTGTCCTCTTGTCAGAAGACCTTTGTAAGGCCCCCTGGCTTGCATGGACCTAAACTGATTGAGGACTCAGTAGTGGTGGTAGATGTTTAGTGACTAGCCAGGCTAGATGCTTTTCCACCATTTTAAACCAAATAACCCTCAAGTCAAATTCACTTTGCAGTCAGGGTTAGGAATTTGGTATCTCTATTAAGAACCGTAGAACATTCCCAGAGTTTAGAAGGTGGAGGCACACTGCAGGCTTCCTTCCTTTGTCTCCTTTTGTCTGTGGGCTTCAAGGAGACTAGCAATTGGTTGAAAAAACAAAAACATGACCTGAGTTCTTTATGGTTACAGTTTCCTCGGCTTCAAACTCCAGAACAGAGTGGGGAATACTTGGGCACTGTCCCTGCCCACTGGTCAATGCAGCTTCAGGCCTTCATCATAGACCTGCTCCAAGCATGATGGATTCTTCCTTTGTTCCCACTGGAAGACCTTATAGCTTGCCTGTGAAAATGGGGACCTAGATTGTAAGGCATTTGGGAATAATAAGGAATAAAGACCACTGAAGAAAAGGCACTGAGAAAATTTACATTTTACTATGAGGAGACAAATTCAGTCATCCAAATATAAGTAACAGTGAGAAATAACATGCATCTTAATATGCCTGTTTTGTCTCCCAGCTTCCTTGACTATTGTGCTTTTATATTTATATAGATGGGCATTTTAAAATACCTAGGGCCCATTTCCATCACAGGGCACTAGACAGCTTTGTACTCATTGGTCCAGTTTCTGTAAAGGTGGCTGTCCTCTGTCTTGTATGACAATTGAATGAAGGAACATTTGAGTTAGGCTTATTAGTTCCTAGATAGAGATACAAAGGAGATAATGTTCAGCTCTGGGTTTCAGTCAGCTCTGTTCAGAG